TCATATGTCCCTGTTCCAGGAAGGAGCCGGGCCCCCCCCCGACACCTACAGACAATGGCGCAAATCACTGTCCTCCCTTTCGCCTCTTGCATATCTATCGGTCTGTATGTGTGCATCTTCTACATCCTGCTGTCTGTCACACCCTTGTGCCTTTCGCCTCTTGCATATCTATCGGTCTGTATGTGTGCATCTTCTACGTCCTGCTGTCTGTCACACCCTTGTGTCTTCCGTGTCTTGCATCTGTATGACCTGCATTTAGACCATTGTCTGTCTGTTCGCACCTCGTTCCCAGACGGCGCCAAACGCTCCCCATGCGCCTCCTCACGGGTGGCCCCCTCCAATCTGTTGTGGGCGGGACTGTCTCTCGTGTGTGTCTTGTATACAGGAAACTTGGGGCTCTGCCCTCAGAGCGAGTACATGCTGCCTTGTGTATGTGCTGACTCTCCGTACGTATGTTAACAATAAACTTACGCTTTTGATCAGACAAAGACCTTTGAGTTTTCTCCTTCATTGGGTAGAAACTTCCTTAACAATTTGGCGTTGCTGACATGTCTTGGCATGGATACTTTCGGCGGGGACGAGCGGCTTTGTTTGGCCGACCTGGATCACCAGCCTCTGTTCCTTTTTGGAGACAAAGGAGGGCGCGCTCGTCCCGCGCACGGAAGGAATCCTTTTGCCACACAAGACCAAAAAGAACCTAATCTGGTGAGTCTTGTCTTTTCATCTGCGTAACGAGCCCAGGGCAACCCTTAAGTCGACACGGGGATTTGTTTATTTATGTATTTTTGGGGTATTTCATTCATTGCCACAGCATAGTCTGTGTGCGGGATTTTTTGGGGGGCTTTTTGTTCTAGATTGAAGCTAGCGGCTGCGCGTTAGTATCGCATTGTAAGCGACCCTGGAATCTCTGAGTGTCTTCAGCCAGAACCGCTCCGTTTTCAAGAACGCGCGCTCGCTGGTTGAACCAGCGGGGGGGGGAACGGAGCGCCCCAAAGTGGGTAAGAGCAGGGAGAGACTAAGCGGGTTAGGCCCATTGTTCGTACGAGAAAATGGGTAAAATCAATCTACAGATGCAAGCTATGAAGTGCTTGCCTATGGTGCAGGTCATCTGCGTGATAATTTAGAAGAAGAAGGGAAGAAAAAAAATATACTTGGTTTTAAGAATATCACGGCAAAAGAGGTTAGAGAAAGAAATATGTAAAAACAATAGCTCCTCCGCCTTTCACCAAAGCGGAGAACACACAGGCGCACACACACGCCCTCTCTCACCTACTAACCCTTTCACACTAGGAGCAGAACTCCATGCTAAGTACGCGCCCAAACAAGGCGTTGGGTTTTTAAAAAATGAAGCAGACTACTGTTGTCTCTTTTCCCTCTTCCCTATCCAGGTCTGTCGGCGCCTTTCCTCCGCGCTCTGTCCTCTGCCTCAAAGCACCAGCCCCACGCCCCAACCACAGGCGGCGCCCGCACCAGCTGAGACCCCGCGAGAAGTGGGCCCAAACCGCAGAAGAAGAAGAGGCGGAAACAGACACACGCTCAGGAAACCACAGAAGAAGAAGCGAGGGAAACAAATATGTGAGACACCGACAACTGCTTTGGAGCACAGAGAGAAACTGCTCCAAATCCCGTGACTGTTCTCCACGGAGGGGGCAGCGTGATATACCAAACGCACCCGCGGAAACCCCCTTGAAAGTTGTTCCCGCACCGCAAACAGAAGAAGCCATTGTGACCGGCACGTTTGGGTTATTCACCAACCCTCATGGACCACATGCTAACGCTTTGGGCTACCTGGGCCTCCTGCGGACTTTGAAAAACTTCCACAGCCCGGCGGAAAGACTGTGTGCTCGACATGGGTCGAAGGACTGTTACCGGAGGAGGCGTTAAAGGCAGAGGAACGCTCAAGCTAACACGGGGCCAGAGGACGGCAGAGGCGGGCACGGAGGAAACACGAGCGACTGACCAAACCCGGGTTCACATTCGTCACCAAAGCGACCGCTCATGTAAGTTGAACAACAACAAATTGCAATTGGCACTTTTTAGAGATAATTCATGCCCGTAATATACGCTAACAACCTGTGGTGTACAAGTTAAAATTCTGGATGACTCCGGGGCAACAAATTCTGTGCTAAAAGTGACAGCCTTTCTGTCTCCCCTAAAATGAGCGGCCGCTTCATATTCTAATTAGCAGCGTCGGGAGAGACGACTAAAGAGCAATTTACGTCACCGCTAACGTGTTTTGATTCTCAGGGCAACCAGCTTAAACATTCTTTTCTATATTCCCCATTGTCCCCGGTTAATCTACTAGGCCGAGACCTTATGTGCAGACTCAATTAAAAATAGATAAATAAAAGGAGGCACCGGTCCCAAAAGTTAACTACCACTGGAAATTGACACCAAACCCTGAGATTGCTAAGTTATTAGCCACAACAAGTGGATAGTGACGCCCGCACAAAATTTGGAGGTCAACCACGCGAACGACCTAAGCTGCTCTCTCCGGTCGTTCCCAGACAATAACTTGGAGTTTGAAAATTCATGCAGTGTAGGGAAGATAGGCTACAAACGGAGTACGTTTATTGAGATAGGCACCACTATCTGTGCTACTTAATGAGTAACAAAAACATTTTTATCGTGAAACAAAGGTGAAGTATTAAAGTTTGAGACTAATTTACATTTTTAATGAATCCGACCTGGCTTTATTGAAAAAGAAAAAAAAATAGGAAAAAAAAAACATTTTTTTTAGGTGACAAGAGCTCATTAGAGATATAGGGGACACAATCTGTGATAAGCCCGAAGTATAGACCACGTGGTAAACACTAAAGTTGGAAATGGATCCTTTTAGGAAAACTCTTTTAAAGCTCTGCAGGCTCTGAAAGTTGCAACAATAAGAAATAGCTCATGAGACAATTGGAATTGGACATGGAAAAATATAACAAAGTTAAAAGTACAGGCCTTCTGTGTGTGTTACATGTTTGTGTGTTATATGTTTTGTGTATGTTATATGTTTGTGTGTCATGTCAAAGTACACTACGCTGACCTTAACGAACTCTGGACCAATACTAACGTGGGGAATCGGCCTGTGATGTGACTGTGATGTGACTGTGATGTGACTGTGATGTGAGTGTGGAGTGAAATGAGGAATGCTGAACGGAATCATGGAATAACAAATGTGTCTGTAATGTTTTAATGTGATCATGGAATAATTCTTTTTTGTCAACAGCATACGGTGTAAGTACTAGAGATTCAAAGATAACGACCTTTATTGAACAGGTGTAAAAGTGAGAGTACTCTGGGATGAGTACTCTGAGAAAAGTACTCTGCGGAAAGTACTCGGAGATGAAATACCTCGCTGAAGATATTGGGAGTTCCTCACTCTGCTGTTTGCCCTGACAGTGATTCGGTCCAACCGCAGTGAGCGGTCATTGGGCGGAGGACAACTTTGGTTCGTAAACTCACATTTAGGGGAGTATAAAATTAGTAACATACATTTTGTTGTTCTGTATCTGGCTACAGCCTCCGCCCTGATGCCACACACCGTCTGTCAATGCAGTTATGTTTTGCCCAATTGGGAAAAAGATTGACAAGCGAAAGTGGGCATTTTTTGTGTTTTTTTTGTGTTCTGATATTTCTTTTTCAGATGAGAGATAAACTACCCCTGCTCCAGGGATGACAGTAGTATGGATCAGGAGGAAATGAGCCTCCACTTTGGCACAAAAGCCCACAATATGAATTGAGGACGATCCGGGAGAAAAGCAACTGGAGATGAACGGAACAGTCGGTACTTTTGCAGCCTCACTGAGGGCCACTGAGACCCACTGCTTACTTCTCAGCAAAACTCGATCCCGTGGCAGCAGGGTTGCCTCGCTGCCTGCGGGCTGTGGCTGCTGCTGAGAAAGCGGCCCTAGCATCACGTGACCTTGTGGGATACACTGAACTAACCTTGCTTGTGCCCCATGCTGTTTCCCTGATCCTGTTAGAGCAGAGGGCCTCTCGCCTTTCTGCGGCTCGTTGGCTGGGGTACAACACGGTGCTCTTTGAACTACGGTGAAGGGATGCACACAGCTGAACCCCTCCTCGCTGCTGCCCACGCCAGAGGAAGGGGAGGCACACTGCTGTATCGCCACAATAGAACAGATATGCACTCCCAGGCCAGACCTGAAAGAGGTGCCTCTGACTAATCCTGACTTGATTTTTTTTATATACAGACGGAGCCGCGTCACGTGACAACACTGGGAAGAACCGAGTCGGCTATGCTGTGTGTTCTGATTTTGATACTATAGACTCTGGTAGTTTGCCCCACTACCATTCAGCACAAACCGCTGAACTGGTCGCGCCCACCGGGGCTGGCAGCGGGCAAAACGGTTAACATATTCTGTGATACGCGTTATGGTTTCTCTGTGGTGCACGACTGGGAAGCACTGTGGAAACACCGCAATTTTATGAAATCTGATGGTAAACCAATTCTTAATTCCACACAGGTTGAACGTCTGCTGAGAGCTGTAATGTTGCCCTTAGAGATCGCTGTATGCAAATGCCAGGCCCACACTAATGCCACTGATCCCATCTCTGCAGGGAATCGGCGTGCGGACAAGGCAGCGGCATACGCACCTCTACACACACACACACACTACCTCACTCAAGACGTTGATATTTTCTACTCCAGCAGAGACGCTGCTGTGGGAGGGGAATGGGGCTCAACGACGGCATGGTGTGTGTGGCTGGGACCAGACAGCAAACCGTGCCTACCACGGCATTTCTTCAGACAGTTTGCAATTTTAGCACATGGTCGAGACCATGCCTCAAAAGGAGGGATGATGTGTGATTTAATCACACAAAATTGGTATACAAAGGGGTTTACGGCATTTGCACAGAGATTCAGCCAAACATGCGCTATATGCCCCGCGCACAACCCAGGTAAGTCCCAAAAGTATCCAACAGGCTGCTCATCCTCCGCCCCTGCGCCCATTTCAACATGTCCAAAGGGACTTTGTTGAACTCACACCATGCCAAGGTAAGTAATACTGTCTGGGTCTGGCGGATCTCTGGTCCAAATGGACTGAAGTATTTGCAGGCATACACGCCACGAGCAACGCGGTGGTGAGTCACTTTGTAGCAAAAGTCATTGAGGAAGTGGGTGAATTTCTGGGCATTGATATACGTAAACACTGCAGTTACGCCCCCTGGTCCGGAGGCACGTGCGAGCGAGAGAATGGCACTCAAAGCTCTGCCGCTAGCCCCACGTTGGGCGCGGGACCCCCGAACAGAGATCTGCCAAGCACCTCTTTGTGTGATGACGACATGCTGTCCTATTGTAAGGAAATTAATGCACTTTTGTCCTCTATTTCTGCCCAGGTCAGGAGCGCCCTGCCACAGGCTGCGCAGGCGACTGGGTCCTGATGAAGGAAACGAGACGAAAGCATTGGCGGTCCAAGCGCTGGCTCGGCCCATTCCTCGCCCTCCTGGTGACGGACACTGCCGTTAAGGTCGCGGAGAGGACAACTTGGATCCACGCCAACCACTGTCGTGCGGTGCTGCCACTGAGGGCCATAGACGAGGACACCGAGGGCGCGGACGGACCAGGCCCATCCGCGGCTCCCTACGCTGAAGAGGTTGGCCGGCGTGCGGCCACCATCGGTGAAGCAGGCCAACAACAACACCCAGAGGATCCCAGCGTTGCCGAGGCAACCCCCCTTTGCCCAACTCCCCAGCCCCCGGACCCCAAGGCCACACCCCAAATCCCGAGCACTCTGCCCAACCGAGTGCTGAGGCCAAGGCTTCAACGCAAATAGAGTCTTGCCGCTCCAAGACCAAACATCGCCATGACCACTAACGCTCCACACACGCTCATAGGGAGCGGTGCCACTGACTGCAAGGCGGCACTGTTCGACCGGCTGGTCCTGGACCACCTGACCGCGTCTGTGGGAGGCGTATGCACGATCATCGGGTCGTCCTGCTGTACATATATTCCGGCCAACGATGAGGACGGAGGTCTTATCCAACAGGGCATAGCCAATCTGACTAGACTCCGGGACGCCATGCAAGCGGACAATGTCACGGACACTCCTCACGGTCTGGACTGGCTCCTGTCCTCCTGGCGAAGTGTGCTCATTAATCTTGGTTTAAGCCCTATTGACCGTTATGATTTTATTTTCATGTGTATTACCCATGGTGTTTCGGGCCGTTGGTAAAATGATATCCACTCACTTTGTGTCCATTCAACACAGAGACCCTGAGGCGGACCTGGCCGCGGTCCCACTGAACTCCGATCCTGATTATATCAGCGATTCGGACGACGACTTTGTCTAACGTTTTTCTTTCTTGTTTACTTTGTTTTTATTTTTCCACTTGTTCCGCCCACAATTTAGGGGGAGGGTATCACAGCGAAGAGCTTTGACCACACCCCCGTAATACAAGAGGCTTGGGTGACGGCGGCGTAACCTGCCCATCAACAACTCTTCTTTTACTCAGGGGCCAAGGTCAATACTCGCACACCTGAATGTGATCTCTGTAAAACTGGGGTTTTTACATTATCACGGGAAAGGAGTGTGATGGCAAGCGACTAGTATTCATGCAACCCTGCCTGTGTCTATTCATATGTCATATGTCCCTGTTCCAGGAAGGAGCCGGGCCCCCCCCCCGACACCTACAGACAATGGCGCAAATCACTGTCCTCCCTTTCGCCTCTTGCATATCTATCGGTCTGTATGTGTGCATCTTCTACATCCTGCTGTCTGTCACACTCTTGTGCCTTTCGCCTCTTGCATATCTATCGGTCTGTATGTGTGCATCTTCTACGTCCTGCTGTCTGTCACACCCTTGTGTCTTCCGTGTCTTGCATCTGTATGACCTGCATTTAGACCATTGTCTGTCTGTTCGCACCTCGTTCCCAGACGGCGCCAAACGCTCCCCATGCGCCTCCTCACGGGTGGCCCCCTCCAATCTGTTGTGGGCGGGACTGTCTCTCGTGTGTGTCTTGTATACAGGAAACTTGGGGCTCTGCCCTCAGAGCGAGTACATGCTGCCTTGTGTATGTGCTGACTCTCCGTACGTATGTTAACAATAAACTTACGCTTTTGATCAGACAAAGACCTTTGAGTTTTCTCCTTCATTGGGTAGAAACTTCCTTAACACTGTTCAGCTGGAAACATTTTTGTGCAAAACTTCAAATGAGAATCAGAATATCCAAATCAGAAAACATAGCTCTCAACCAGAGAAAGACATCTTGCTTCTCCAAGTGGGTGGAGAACTCCATCCTCTTGTATCTCAGGGGTCAACTTCACGAGGAGTTTTCAAATTGGCAGACATTTAATATGGTTGTGGAGAAGAGTGCACAAAGCAGAAAATCAAAGCTCAGGAATTACCAGTAAATCTACAAAGAGCTTTGAGTAAAGACCTATGCTGGACGCAATTTAAAGAGACGAGGAGCTCAATAACATGGAAGTATCTCAGAGTAGAGTCGCTGCTCCTCCATCTAGAGACCAGCCAGCTGATGAGGCTCAGGCATCTGTTTTGGATGTTTTCTGGATGCCTCCTTGGGGAGCTGTTACGGACAGGCCCTGGGAACAATAATTTCCTGGAGGAAAGAGTCTTGGGTGTTCTCAAAGTCCCTGCTCACAGTGCAGCAGGAGTTTTTGATACATGGAAAAAGACAAAACCAAATGTTTACACCATAGACTGTTTATATTAATGTTTAAACCCCAAAAAAGAGTTGATTCCGTATGTGCATTACAGTTTTCGTTACAAAACAACTATTGATCCTTGAAAAACACGTAATTAAAGCTAAAAGACACAAGAGGGCGGTATGTATGTACGTACATGGCCTTCGTGGGTCTTTGCTCTTTCGGCTTGTGGACAAACAAAACACACTTTTCAAGTCCACAATAATTTTAAAGGAAAGTAATAAAGATTGTTTGAGCGTATCGTTTGGAACTACAAGTAACATGTTGGTACTCATGTTCGTTTATTTTTTGTCGTAAATTATTAACATTCTTGAAAAATTATACAACCGTGTCACCTTTTTTATCACTAACCTAAAATGTGTAGTTAAGCAGGATTTATGAAGGAATTTTAGTGTAAAATCGTTGTTGAATGATAGAAAAGTCGTAAAAGTACCGGAAACGGGTTGTGCCTGTCGTAAAGCAGCCCCTGATGTGTGGCGCGTGAAACCCCGTCGGTCTCTCCGTACGGCAGCCCAAGCTGAAGACGGTATGCTCCTAGCCTGATCATGAATTAATCAAGTAGTACATCAATTTTACTCGTTTATATGTGAATTACTGTGGCCCCTCTGTTTCAGAAACATGCCGGCTAAAGGTCCCCTACAATCTGTCCAGGTCTTTGGACGTAAAGTAAGTAAATCGATAAAAGCACGTACACATGTGCTACTAGCTACAGCCATCTGGCCTAAAAGCACTGCCCTATGTGATGAATGTTGTTAATGTTAGTTCTGCTTTATCGCTTACCGTTGACACGTCGAACGCAACTGATTAGTTCAGTTATAACGCCGACATTATGTATTTCTGGATCGTAATGCCTGTTTGGAATTACCTGCTAGTTTAAGCAACTCGTCCACCATAGATTCCAGCCTGTCATTTTCATAATATTTATCATACGCTATATCATGTGTGTGTATGTTGTTCAAATATTGTGTACGTTAAGTGTGTCTCTCTCATTCTGTTTTGTAGAAAACCGCCACAGCAGTTGCTCACTGCAAAAGGGGAAATGGTCTGATCAAGGTAAACGGCAGGCCTCTCGAGATGGTAGAACCTGCCACTCTCCAGTACAAGGTACGTCTTCACTAAAATTAATTAAACTTGAGTGATGTTTGAGGTTTACATTATTGCAAGTTCCATTTAGAAATGTTGTTATACTGCGGTGAGTGAGCTTACCATAATCACAAACGAAACGCACTCCAAGTGCCCTAAAGAGCTGTGTAGTCTAATTGTCACTGGGTTCTTAATTTCTATATTAATTCTAAATGTATTGTCCAAGATACTATCTAATTGAAATCATTGTTCAAATTGCCTTCATAATAGATGCGCTATGAACAAACTTCTCAATAAAACAGGATGTCTTGTATTCCCATCATTTAGTCTCCATAAATCCCTAAGTTGTTGAATGTACTACCTACCTATGCCTTCCATTATCTGAATCTGACGCACCCAAGTACTTATAAAGCTTCTCAAAAATTACTATGAAATTGCATCTGGAAATCAGTTTAGGTATTTTACCTTTTGATAAACTTTTCTTCATGTGGACAGCCTGTGGCAATGGGATCTTTAATTTATGATCAACTTTACAATCCAATTCCTACTAATATTAGTCATTGAGTCATGTTGGTCTTCAGAGGTTCACTCTTTAAACTGCTCTTAAAGGCTGATATAGTTTTATGCGAATCATTGTTCTAATGTAGCGTGGTTTTATCTTTTCTACAGCTTCTTGAGCCTGTGCTGTTGCTCGGCAAAGAGCGTTTTGCCGGTGTGGACATTAGAGTCAGAGTCAAGGGTGGTGGACATGTTGCTCAGATCTATGGTTTGTAAAAGTTTCACTCTCAAACTCTAAATTGTAGACATTGAATTCTAAAATGTGTTTTCTTTGACAGCCATCCGTCAGTCAATCTCCAAAGCTCTTGTCGCATATTACCAAAAGTGTAAGTATAGTAATGTCATGACTGAACAGATAATGGAAACATTAATTCTTATAATGGCTATACTTAAATTGTTGCCTTTATTAAAATGTATTAAGTTTCTATGCTATAGGGCTAAAAGATCTTTCAAATTGCCATGTATAACCAATGGTGTAATTTAAATTCAGCAACTTTATTCAACCCATTTAGTCATGGTATACATATAGTTGGTATTTGTATATTCAGAATTTAAAGCTGGTTTGATGTCGTAAGATTTTCACCACAAAAAGAAAACTAAGTTGAAGTGAAGCCATCTTGCCTAGAGGCCATGGGCATAAGACTAAGTTGCCCTGTAGGGATAATTGAGTGGGAATAGCTCTGATGCAATTTAATTTGTAACCATTTTCAATATTACTGTATTGAAAATGAAATACATAATTCACAACCTTGTCTTTGAACTGGCAGATGTGGATGAGGCTTCAAAGAAGGAGATCAAGGACATCCTGATCCAGTACGACAGGACCTTGCTGGTGGCCGATCCTCGTCGTTGCGAGTCCAAGAAGTTCGGTGGACCTGGAGCTCGTGCTCGCTACCAAAAGTCCTACCGTTAAATGCTCTGTACATTTTCATAATAAATTGGGTAATCCAATTTCAAATGTTGTAATTTCTTTTAACTGCTCCTTGATAAGTATATTTCTTATCAATACAACCTAGTGGTTTGGGAGGGGGGGGTCAGAATATTTGTTTTAAGATTTCTAAATGACTGGTATCTGACCATTTTTACACGCTTTACTCAACATTAAATTTGTCACTTTACACTAAAAATTAAATGTATTAGTCAATGGGGGTTGTGAGGGTGTGAATTCTTTTAGGGGTGCTTGCTAATATAACTTCTGTGTTAAGACAATTTACATGAAACTGGGTAAGAGTTAAATACAAGCACATTCTGATGTAAACCTTAAGGGAAAAGGATGTAAATGCTTTGAGCTCTGATGGCCCAGCTGCCTCATATCAGGTCAGCTCTAGATATGGTGATGTATGTTTCACTGAGAGCAGTGCTTTGGGAATCACAACTTGTCTAATTGCAGTTTATGAATGATAATATTTCTGAAGACATTCGTGTTAAATAAAAAAAAAAGTTTTAAGTGTCCGAATAGTCCTATGCTCCATGTTTTTTAATTTGTTCCAGGGATATCTTTACTAAAGAGGGCAAAACTATAGACTTATATTCATTGCTAAACGCAACGATGACCTGTTCGAAAACCAGCCACTGGATGGCGCTGTGGTGTGGCTTTATGATGACTTGCTTATAAACGTTTGGAAGTTCAGAACTTTTTCTACTTCTGTAACAAAGAGTTGAAGGACAACATTCTCAATAGGATTTGAGTTAATATTTTTTTCCCTTGACCATTAGACTCACTGATTCAATTAGAACTGTTATTTTTTTTCTTTATCATGCTGTGCACATCAAAACGACATCTAACAATTGATCGATGCTTCTAACTGCTCAATTATAAGCAGAGCCGAGGTTCCTTCATGAGAAGCTCAGAGCTTTTCGGAGACACTCCCCTCACTCCCTGTGATTAAAATATAAGATAATAAATCACCATTGATGCTGGCTTTGTTTGTGGATAACACACTTGCGCCTGTACTACAGTGAATGAGTGTTTTGTGTGGGAAGAGTGAAAAGGCCATTTTCAAAACCAGTGCCATTAGCAGACTGGAAGAGCTGTGGAACCAATTGAATCATCAAGGCTTCGAAATTGGTGATGGATGATGGTTCAGTGGTAATGCACACATAGCTACTGTAATAAAGTAAGTATAATAATGTATAAGTATTTGCAATACTATGGAATATTTTGTGGATTATAGCTCATATTGGAGCCCCCATCTAAACAATCTGGCCAAATGAAAACAATCCGTGCACATGTATGATTTGCTTTTGCTAGAATATATAATTTTTTTAAGCACTAGAGCTCACACCTGTCTTTCCTCTGTTAACACCCTCTCCACCAGTGCAGGTCTCATACCACCACCATCACACCAACACAGAGGTGTGAACCCAGGATGCATTTTGTCATCACTTGCACTTCACCCCTTCCTCTCCCTATGCATTTGTAGAAAGAAGAGATTTGACATTGCAACGGCTCTCTTAAAAATAGGTTGTATACACTGCACAATCTATTTAAATATTATGCACATAGGTGGATTTATCAACCCTGGTGCTAAATGGAATGTGTTTAGTACAATAGTGTATACAATGTTATATGTAATGTCACAAATCAGTTGGCTCAAAATGATAAAACGTGCTAATCATGTTTACTAAAGATTGTATCAGGTAATTGACATTCAGGTCTGTCAGATCATTGTTTGTCGTCAAAACAAAAATACATTTTGTGAAATACTAAAACATACTTTCCCTATGCATTTTAGACTCCAATTAGAAATGAGCCACTGAATGTTTAACAAGCATCTCAAAAGGTTCAACATAACATTGACGACAGCTATGAAGCCGAGTACTCTTGTTTACAGCTCAAACCCACAGCGCTCCCAGGCCTCCTTTAACCCTTTCCCTTATTGCAGAGCTGAGAGAGAGCTGATGATAGATTCATCTCATCTGCTTGGGCTTGCAGAGACACTGCACTCCCTTCTCATCTTGTTTTTAGTTTGAACGGACCCAGAAAAAGGCTCTCAATTTCTGACCTATCTATTAGTCACGCTCCCCAGGCCAGTGTTGACTCATGCATTCAACCTATAGACATAAATCTGAAAGGTCTCGTGAAACTCAACTACTTTAAAGGATTTTCTCATAAAAAAAACAAAAAAACCCAAACATGCTTTCTTATTTTTGTTTGTATATAAGCATGCAGGTTGGCAGCAGGATTGTTCTCTGGATGTCCCGAGAGAGCTTGCCTGTTACGCCTAAGCCAAATCTCGGGTCATAGGCTATAACACATCCTTCAACCTTTGACCACCAGCTCTGGTCCTATTTCCAACCTGCAGCAGACCAGTGCTGATCGGCCTTCACAGGGTCAGCCCACCAGCCCAAGATCTATTTTAGTAAAAACACACTGGTCAGAGTATAGTGCACAAGGTGAGATTTCAGCCAGCTTTGAAGTATCTTTCATCCTTACCCTGTTGTTCTTCTTCTTTATTGCCTTTAAATTTCCTTAAAAAGTTATTGTTGAACTGCTGTCTAAAAAAGTATGGTCAAGGACAAAAATCAAAATGATACTATTATTTCTAAACAAAAAAATCATTCATGACTTTCCGTCTCATACATTTTCTACCCTACTACAATAAGGGTTCATCCTTTGTCCTAAAACTTCAGTGAGACCCATTAAACACCATCACCACCATAACAGCGATATGTGGCATTTTACTATCTATGCTCTCATCGCTTAAAATGCAATGTTGGCAACTCTCCCAAGAACCTGTTGCTTTTCTCTGAGTCTTTTGACCTGTAGTCAGCAGTGTCACCTCCGGGCTGAGGTGCACATGGGCTACTTGACTCAAAGCTGTCAAGACGAGACAGGAAGACTGTTACTGAGGGGTACTGTGGAGAAGGCCTAGGTCATGCTGCCTTAGCCTGACTGAAGATTGGGGGACATGGCTAATTAAACGGCCTAAAAGCTGTTGAAAGGACTGGACAGTGCCAGCACGAGGGAGACTTGACGCCCATGTGTTCTGGTTTGGAGGGAGTGGAGGGCGAGTGTGACCAAACAAGGAAGCCCCTCCCACTTACCATGGGCCCATCTCGGGTAAAATATTGTCATGACTGCAATAAAAGAGGATGGTGATATTAACTGCTATTCCAGACATCCTAAAAACTACCGCTCGTACCACTCGAAAACGCAGCACATACACAAGAATATGAAGAAAAAGATGAGAGCGTGACAATCTGGAAACGACGGTTATTAGTTACAGAAAATGCATTAAGGCGTGAGCTGAAGGAGAGCAGCAGAGCAGAGGAAGTGCGAGGATTACCTCTGGCCCGCTCCGGTTCCCCCTCTTTTCTCTGTAGTAAACTGTCCAGATTTACAAGGCCTCATGGGACACCTCATCCTCGTCCTGTCAATCCTGAACAGACCCTATTTTAAAATATTCCTAAATCAGCCGTGACAGTGTTCAGAGAAGGGAAGGTCAGAGGCATCAACAATGTAACCCATAGAACCAGTTCTACCCCAGCAGAACTTTTTCTAAAAATGTCAAAATCGGTATTACACACTGTAACACTTTTGTAACATATGATTCCATAATCTAGACATTTTTTGTGGCAAAGAAGGATTGATCAAATGCTGAGGACAAATTGCTTATTGGGGATGAGTAAATTGTACCTTACTTAACCATACATTTTTCACAGAACAACTCACACCCAAAAATAAACTATGTTCTCTAATCATCTCAATCATAACAGTAAATATACGGAGGACAATGACAATAAAAAATGACATTTAAAAAGTCATTTCACAAATCACCTCAGAACTCAAAAGAATAAGCTCTCTGGACATTACAATGAAAACATATACATTTTAGAATTATGATTTTAAAAAGTGTGTATATGTCTTATGTATTTATTGTATGTCGCTGTTTGTATGAATAATTGTTAAGTTATTTAAAAAGCAAAAAATAGGAACTTATTGTAAATCAAACTACCAGGAAAGGCCAAACTCAGGTCCTCTCCCCATACTGGACCAATTTGTGACGCCTTGATATATTTGAATGCCAAGGCACAATGACAGTCCTACATACGTTCATAGTTATTACTACTACTAATACATGAATTATGTAGTCCTGTCGTCCTGATATTGCGATGACACATTTTTCCATTACAATAAATAACAGATTGAGTACATGCAAACCCCACAAGCCTCAGAAGACTCCTTCAACAGAAACAGGAAGCAGTTCACGGCGCAGTTCATGACCCCTCTCATTCAGCCCCGAAGGCCCACCACAGCGCAACGCCAAACAGATCCGGTCCCATCAACAAGGTGTGGAAGGATGCTGTGTGCTGCTGCTCATGGTGCTAGGTGCACATCTGTCCACATGCAGCCGTGTAATGGTGTTATACACATACACACACACACACACACACACACACATACTGGTTTCCATTCTTGATGGGGACCAGGTTTCAAATCATCACATGTGGGGACCACCCTTTCTAGAGGTTCTAGAGTCATAAAAAAAAATTGAGTTACTTAACAAAACATTGTAAGCATATACACATCTTAAAATGTGTCAATTGATGAAATGATATTCTGGCAGTGTACTGTGGGGACCTATAAAAAAACGAGTCAATGTCACTTAGAAGGACCAGATTTGCATATTTTTTGCATAATTCACACACTTTTATAATTTACTCATGGGGACCCTTTGTAAATCTAATAAGTACAATGTTAAGGCCAAAGAATGCACAGACTGTCTTTGTAAATGTGCCTTTATTAACCAATTTTATATTTTTTATTGCTAGGATTGTGAACAGCTTATTTCTTGATGAAAGCACATTTTGCTTCAAATGCAGAGCAAAAAAATGTCTTTCGTCATATATTCTTTGTACACCATTTTTGTTGTATGCCTTAACAGCCATATTTGTAGTGGCCTGACTTGAACTGAGTTCAACTGCAGAAGATGTTTCAGCTGAAACACATCTTAGCATCTTGAATGAAGTTGTGAAGTCCCATTCAAGATTGTTTGCAGGGATAGAATCATCAAGAATGAGTTGTAATTTTGTTTCATGACGAAGTTTGGATCACTATCACTTTCTGAATCAGACGAGGTATCTGGGACATAGTTGTCTGAACTATCCATTGTAGAATCATAAAACTCACAGTCAAGATGATTTGTGTCTTTCATCTGAATAAAACAAGAAAAAACATTTTAACAACTAAGAATTCCAAAAAAGTAAAAAAAAAAACAGTCAGAATGCAATTCATTGAAAAAAAATACTTACAAAATAAATGAATGACACATTTAACTTCACTGGATGATAACAAGTTTTATAGGTACATTTTGTACTGACTTACTATGACACTTTTTGTCCTTATCAGTTTTGGTACATAATCGACTTCCCATGTGTGCTGTGCAAGAATCTGTAAATAAAAAAAAACTAATATAAACAAACAAGACAAAAAACGACAACACTTCTCTTGAGGACCTTTTCACACCCCACTCCATTCCTTATTTATGGGGACCAATTCAACGGACTCACACACATAATTAAACTCAACAGAACTCACTCATCCACTCTTCCACTATCCATTTACTGAATATAGTTAAATGACTTACACATAAAAAATATTGTATAATTGTCTTCAAAGGTTAAAAAAGCTTTCTCAGGACTGACAAGGAATCTCTGGTATTTTGTCATGATTGATGAATAGGATCCTACTTGTTTCTGATTGGCATCGTTTCCAAATGACGTATTCATGTGGGACTGAGGCTGGTCAGAATGATCAAAAAATCTGTGGTATAAGTGTCATCTGTGGGAGACAGAAGGTATGAGGATTTACAATTGAACACTAAAATAATCACCGTCTAAAACAGTGATTACAAATTAAAATCAAAAGACCACTCAAGCAGTCCCAAATACTACCAGCAGTACACAAATCATAGTTTGACTGATGTAAAACCAACTTGTTTGTACATACACACATCTAGGGTCGGGGACACGTCTCATGAGGACCTTTTCACACCCCTCTCAATTCCTTCATGGGGACCAATTCAATGGACTTTCACACACTGATCAACTCATCAGCAGTCACTCCAGGTGTGCTATGGGGACATTGTGAGGGCTATTTCACACACTTCCATTCCTTCTTTACGGGGACCGTTTCAATGGACTTTCACACATGATTAAACTCAACAGAAGTGTTTTATGGGGACATCGTGAGGGTTCATTTGAAAGAAACATTTAAGTAAAAAGTCCTTGTCTGCAATGACCAAAAAAGGCTTAAAGTATTCTCCTTCTATTCCACTTACTGAATATAGTTTAATGAGTTACACATGAAAAATCTTATACAAATGACTTCAAATGTTAAAAAGCTTTCTCAGAATTGACAAAGAACCTCTGGAATCTTGTCATGATTGATACAAATTATCCTACCTGTTTCTGAGGGGCATCGTTTGCAAATGACGTATTCATGTGGCACTGAGGCTGGTCAGAATGATCAACAGAACCTGGAGTAGTGCAATCTGCTGTCACGTGGGTCATCTGTGTGAATCAGAAGGTATGAGGATTTACTATAAAACACTTGAATAATCACCGTCTTAAACAGAGATCACAATTTTAATTTAATAGAACCACCCAAGAAGGCCAAAGTACTACCAGAAGTCCACAAATCATATTTTGACAGATGTAAAACAAACTTATTTGCACATACACACATCTAGGGTCGGGGACATGTCTCATGAGGACCTTTTCACACCCCCACCCCATTCCTTCATGGGGACCAATTCAATGGACTTTCACACACGGTTCAACTCATCAGCAGTCACTCAAAGTGTGTTATGGGGACATTTTGATGGCCATTTCACACACTTCCATTCCTCCTTTACGGGGACCAATTCAATGGACTTTCACACATGTTTAATAGAAGTCACTCAAAGTGTTTTATGGGGACATCGTGAGGGTTCATTTGAAAGAAACATTTAGGTAAAAAGTCCTTGTCTGCAATGACCAAAAAAGGCTTAAAGTATTCTCCTTCCACTATTCCACTTACTGAATATAGTTTAATGAGTTACACGTGACAAATCTTATACAAATGACTTCAAATGTTAAAAAGCTTTCTCAGAACTGACAAAGAACCTCTGGAATTTTGTCATGATTGATAAAAATTATCCTACCTGTTTCTGAGGGGCATCGTTTGCAAATGACGTATTCATGTGGCACTGAGGCTGGTCAGAATGATCAACAGAACCTGGAGTAGTGCAATCTGCTGTCACGTGGGTCATCTGTGTGAATCAGAAGGTATGAGGATTTACTATAAAACACTTGAATAATCACCGTCTTAAACAGAGATCACAAATTTAATTTAATAGAACCACCCAAGAAGGCCAAAGTACTACCAGAAGTACACAAATCATAGTTTGACAGATGTAAAACAAACTTATTTGCACATACACACATCTAGGGTCGGGGACATGCCTCATGAGGACCTTTTCACACCCCCGCCCCATTCCTTCATGGGGACCAATTCAATGGACTTTCACACACGGTTCAACTCATCAGCAGTCACTCAAAGTGTGTTATGGGGACATTTTGATGGCCATTTCACACACTTCCATTCCTCCTTTACGGGGACCAATTCAATGGACTTTCACACATGTTTAATAGAAGTCACTCAAAGTGTTTTATGGGGACATCGTGAGGGTTCATTTGAAAGAAACATTTAAGTAAAAAGTCCTTGTCTGCAATGACAAAAAAGGCTTAAAGTATTCTCCTTCCACTATTCCACTTACTGAATATAGTTTAATGAGTTACACATGACAAATCTTATACAAATGACTTCAAATGTTGAAAAGCTTTCTCAGAACTGACAAAGAACCTCTGGAATTTTGTCATGATTGATACAAATTATCCTACCTGTTTCTGAGGGGCATCATTTGCAAATGACGTATTCATGTGGCACTGAGGCTGGTCAGAATGATCAACAGAACCTGGAGTAGTGCAATCTGCTGTCACGTGGGTCATCTGTGTGAATCAGAAGGTATGAGGATTTACTATAAAACACTTGAATAATCACCGTCTTAAACAGAGATCACAAATTTAATTTAATAGAACCACCCAGGAAGGCCAAATTACTACCAGAAGTACACAAATCATAGTTTGACAGATGTAAAACAAACGTATTTACACATACACACATCTAGGGTCGGGGACATGTCTCATGAGGACCTTTTCACACCCCCGCCCCATTCCTTCATGGGGACCAATTCAATGGACTTTCACACACGGTTCAACTCATCAGCAGTCACTCAAAGTGTGTTATGGGGACATTTTGATGACCATTTCACACACTTCCATTCCTCCTTTACGGGGACCAATTCAATGGACTTTCACACATGTTTAATAGAAGTCACTCAAAGTGTTTTATGGGGACATCGTGAGGGTTCATTTGAAAGAAACATTTATGTAAAAAGTCCTTGTCTGCAATGACAAAAAAAGGCTTAAAGTATTCTCCTTCCACTATTCCACTTACTGAATATAGTTTAATGAGTTACACATGACAAATCTTATACAAATGACTTCAAATGTTGAAAAGCTTTCTCAGAACTGACAAAGAACCTCTGGAATTTTGTCATGATTGATAAAAATTATCCTACCTGTTTCTGAGGGGCATCGTTTGCAAATGACGTATTCATGTGGCACTGAGGCTGGTCAGAATGATCAACAGAACCTGGAGTAGTGCAATCTGCTGTCACGTGGGTCATCTGTGTGAATCAGAAGGTATGAGGATTTACTATAAAACACTTGAATAATCACCGTCTTAAACAGAGATCACAAATTTAATTTAATAGAACCACCCAAGAAGGCCAAAGTACTACCAGAAGTACACAAATCATAGTTTGACAGATGTAAAACAAACGTATTTACACATACACACATCTAGGGTCGGGGACATGTCTCATGAGGACCTTTTCACACCCCCGCCCCATTCCTTCATGGGGACCAATTCAATGGACTTTCACACACGGTTCAACTCATCAGCAGTCACTCAAAGTGTGTTATGGGGACATTTTGATGACCATTTCACACACTTCCATTCCTCCTTTACGGGGACCAATTCAATGGTCTTTCACACATGTTTAATAGAAGTCACTCAAAGTGTTTTATGGGGACATCGTGAGGGTTAATTTGAAAGAAACATTTAAGTAAAAAGTCCTTGTCTGCAAAGACCAAAAAAGGCTTAAAGTATTCTCCTTCCACTATTCCACTTACTGAATATAGTTTAATGAGTGACACAAAACAAATCTAAGATAATTGACTTCAAATGTTATAAAACCTTTTCAGAACTGACAAAGAACCTCTGGTATTTTGTCATGATTGATAAAAATTTATCCTACCTGTTTCTGAGGGGCATCGTTTGCAAATGACGTATTCATGTGGCACTGAGGCTGGTCAGAATGATCAACAGAACCTGGAGTAGTGCAATCTGCTGTCACGTGGGTCATCTGTGGGAAACAGAAGGTATGAGGATTTACAATAACACACTATAATAATCACCATCTCAAACAGAGATCACAAATTTAATTTAATATAACCACCCAAGAAGGCCAAAGTACTACCAGCAGTGCACAAATCATAGATTGACAGATGTAAAACAAACTTATTTGCACATACACACATCTATGGTCGGGGACATGCCTCATGAGGACCTTTTCACACCCCCGCCCCATTCCTTCATGGGGACCAATTCAATGGACTTTCACACACGGTTCAACTCATCAGCAGTCACTCAAAGTGTGTTATGGGGACATTTTGATGGTCATTTCACACACTTCCATTCCTCCTTTACGGGGACCAATTCAATGGACTTTCACACATGTTTAATAGAAGTCACTCAAAGTGTATTATGGGGACATCGGGAGAGTTCAATTTAAAGAAACATTTGAGTAAAAAGTTCTCGTCTGCCATGACCAAAAAAAGGTAAAAAATACTTTCCTTCGACAATTCCACTTACTGAATATAGTTTAACGAGTGACACATAACAAATCTAAGATAATTGACTTCAGATGTTATAAAAACATTTCAGAACTGACAAAGAACCTCTGGTATTTTGTCATGATTGATAAATATGATCTTACCTTAATCTGATAGGCATCGTTTCCAAATGACATATTCATGTGGCACTGAGGCTGGTCAGAATGATCAAGAAAACCTGTAGTTGAGCCATCTGCTGTCACATGGGTCATCCGTGGGAGACAGAAGGTATAAGGATTTTTAATAAAACACTAAAATAATCATGGTCTAGAACAGAGATCACAAATTTAAATTTAAAGAACCACCCAAGGGGGCCCAAGTATTACCAGCAGTACACAAATCATAGTTTGACAGATGTAAACCCAACTTGTTTGTACACACACACATCTAGAGTCTGGAACACGTCTCATGAGGACCTTTTCACACCCCTCTCAATTCCTTCATGGGGACCAATTCAATGAACTTTCACAAACAATTCCACTCATCATCAGTCACTCCTAGTGCGTTATGGGGACCTTTTTAGGACCATTTCAAACACTTCTATTCCTTCTTTACGGGGACCATTTCAACAGACTTTCACACATGATTAAACTCAACAGAAGTCACTCAATTTATTATGGGGACATTGTGATGGTTCATTTGAAAAAGGCTAAAAATATTCTACTTCCACTTATCTACTTACTGAATATAGTTAAATGAGTTAAACATAACAAATCTTATATAATTGACTTCAAATGTTAAAAAGCTTGCTCAGAACTGACAAAGAATGGTCAGAATGATCAAGAAAGCCTGTTGTAAAGCCATCTGCTGACACGTGGGTCATCTGTGGGAGACAGAAGGTATAAGACTTTACAATAGAACACTATAATAATCTATAAGTCTAAAACAGTGCTCCAATTTTTCCAACCAAGCCCCATGTTATAAAATACTGAAATGTACCACCAGGTCTGGATCACCATGAAACAAGATAAGAGAAACTTAATTGATCTCACAGTGGAGAATCAGGGTTTATAAAGGTCTAAACTAGACTTCCTGAAGTCTACCTAAAGCCTTGTCTATAGCAGAAAACTCCAAGCTCCAAGTCATAACTAAAACAATCATACAATGTAAAATCACCACCATAGGAGGCCATTTCACACACTTCCATTCATTCTTTATGGGGACCAATGAAACAAACTTTCAAACATAGTTCAAGTCAATAGCAGTAACTGAAAGGGCATTCTTTGTATTAGGTTAGAAATAAGCAATTATTTTAAGCGTGTGTTTGTGACATACTCTTTCTCTCCATGGGCAGTCATCTCCACCATAATCATAAGTAATTTCTTCTCCTTCTTTTTTGTCTCGTAATGCTTCTTTTCATCTTACAATTTGGGTGGATGTGGTCATCATTAACAATACGCCCAAATGTGCCATCTTGTACTGAAGCATCAATGCTGAAAAAAAAGAAATATATATATTGATATATAAAAACTTTTAAACACATATAGTACATACATTATACAGTATAGTGCTACAATCACCAAGCTTACATACTCAAAGCTTACCTATATTTATCAATTCAAATTATATAATACAGAGACAGCTTTTTCAGCTAAATTTTCAAACCCCACAGACAGAGGTTTTTCTGGGCTAATTCGTGGTGCCATTTAAATCATCAAAAACTGAAACAACAGAATGCATAATTATGATTTCACTTGAGTCATTTTTTGAAACAATTCTATTACATTTGTAATTTATTTTATCTGTAGGTTTGGTACAGCTGTTTCTACTATATTACTTCCAAATATCTTCTATATCTAATATATTTTAATACATAATTACAAATCAAACCTTTACTTTCAACATTTAGTCAGGTACTCAATTAATATATTCATCCAGTACTTCAGTAACTTTTCTTTTTCCTTTCTACTTGAAGAAATTAAATATTTCTGCTATTTGACCCACTTAATTCTTAAAATAAAACTAAACTGCAAACTACTTCTTAATAAGTAAAGCCACTATAGGTTACTGCTATTACATAGAAAGCTTTAGTTGTATCATTCAGAACCTGTATATGTACTGAGAAACCTTTAGTTGCTTCTTGAAAGTACCACACACAAGTTGATTACTATACGAGCTAGTTGCTAATGCTAACAGGTTGTATATTAAAATCACATCTAATCTTGCTTAAAAAGGGAAACCATGCAAAGTAAATCACTGAATCTGTACTTATTACACAGTTTATTCGTTTTGCATGAGCATTGAACAGATACAGTCTTTAGTATAGCTACCAGCAAAGAGTACTCAGATTCTTTAGCCTGTTTACTCTGACACTAGCTTGTTAGCAAAAATCGGTGCTAACTTCCTAGCTAGCTACTTCTAGTACATAAGAAGCTCTACTTATGTAATTTAGTCACCACTCGTTTACTGCGAAGACAACTGTTCGCCATCTGAATGTCCTTTTAGAAGGGAACATTGACCCATGTGCTGTTTGGTAGAATCTGCTGTCCAAGCTAGTTGCTAATGCTAGCTCCAACAAGTTGCCAATGCTAGCTCGAACCAGTTGCATTAGTCTGTACATTAAAACCACAGCAATTCAGGCCACAAAAGTGAATTAGCAATAACTTGGTTGCTATTAAATAACATGCATATATACAATATTTGTTCTAAAATGATTGCAAATTATGCTTACCTGTCTGTTGCATTTGAAAGCAGCTGAAAACAGTTGATTCCAAGATCATCACTCTTGGGGACCAGGATGTGGGCGGTACTTAATTATATATGCAAAGTGTGTGTGGAAACCAATGTGTCTTACCAGTCATTACCACCAGAGGTGCCAATGAGCAACCACAACACACACATTAAACATCACTTACGAGCCTTCTCTAAAACTTTGCCCAGCACCTTCTAAACAGCTCCCCCATTCATCTAAATGGTTTTCCTTATGGGGACCTGGTTTTTGGTCCTCCTAAGGAAATGGGTCCCCATGGCGTGACTGTGTTAACAGATTTCAGTCCCCACAACGTGATGATTACAAGAACACACACACACACACACACACACACACACACACACACACACACACACACATACACACACACACACGTACAACTGCAGCTGTGCTACAAATACAAAACATCCAGGAGAGACTGACTACTGTATGGGCTGATGTTCAACTAAAATACTTTCATTGTTCCCTCAGGTCAGCTTCTCCCAGAGACCATGGAAAATATAGACTAAATGCCATAGCTCTTTTGCACTGACATCCATAAAGCTCTATTACATTGCCTTTTCGCTTTGGGCTGACTAAACGCAATGCTGCTTATATCTGGAGCATGCCAAGTCAAATGCCGGTTCATTCAAATACAGAGCAAATATCTCCTTATCCTGTGTTGAATAACGCATGCATATCATTGAGTACTTCTCACTAAAACAAAATGCATATTTTGTTTTTGCCAAAGACCAAAATGTTCTGGCCCAAAGGCAGAGCTGATGTCATGGGAGCTGCGAGCTGTTTGGGTCACATCTGATATTTCACTTTAATGGAGAAGTGTTAAAAGTACGAAGCCGGGGAAGATGTGTAAGTGTGTTTTTCAGGAAAGTATTGGAAGGATTTGGCTCAACTGAGCTATCATTTTCAGATAATCCATTCTGGTTTTTCTACAGAAACATCAGCTCCCAACTCGCCAAAATTTTACTTCTCTCACTTGATTCTGTCTTCTCAAATAGTCTGTAAGCGTTCCCACAACTCTCATGTCACAAGACCCTGGAAGCCCATTCCTCCAGTAAAGTGGTTTGTATTACTTATTGCACATGCAATAATCCCAGGCAAGGACAAACATCATTATTCATGGGTAGCACTCTCACTTATCAGCAAGAAGGTCTTGGTCTTTAGAAACAGGTCCTTTTTGAGTGAAGTTTGCATGTTCTCTCTGTGTCTGCAGCGACACGTGCTCCTGACAGAGGGCCTAGCGCCAATGCAGAATGGGTAAAATATACTGTAGGGAAAATGTCCCTATGTTCCCTAACTTCCCTGACAAAAAAGTAGAACTTTATTTAGCACCTGCATGTGAAAGACACTTCACCCATTATGAGTTTGGAGTGTGTGCCAACTGTTTCATACTCGCTCCTGTCTGCTGCAGGGCAGCTATGGCTACAGTGGTAGTTTATCACCACTGTGTGTGGAGTAAATGAAAAATACCATGTATTTGAGTGTCTAGAAACGTGCTATATAAAACCTAGAATACAACTTATGAAATACCTTTTGACATAGTGAAACAGTCTGATTATTTCTGTGCTATTCTTTTTCAACAGTTTTTTTTTTTTTCAACAAATAAACTTATTGTTGTTACCCCCAGTTTTATTACACTCTTTTTCTTCAAGTTTCTTCCAAGCTTTATAGTTGGGCCTGTAATGCAGTTTGTTCTGTTGCCAGCTGTTGTCTTTGCGGAGGTAAATCTCACTAAATCAATGCGAGTTAATGCTGAGAGATCGTGAGCCGGGCCCATCTCTGGGACACCCCATCCCCATTGGTTACAGAGCATCCATCATGTGCTCAATGAAGCCTGGGTGACACTGTGCTGCTGCTGCCCCCCTTACCTCCAAAACCATTCTGCCTCGTCTTCTCTCCTTCGCAAAACTGTCAGTGTCAAATAAAGAGCCACTAATTATAGCATAGTCTAATATCTTTGATCATCATTTATTTACGTGACATGGCCCAAGGAAAAAAGCTCTCTTGAGAATCTCCATGGGAGCCGTGTGGTGCAGGAAAGGTGAGCTGATTGACCTGTCATTTATCATGTAACTTTAACTCCAGCCATGTCTTTAGAGATATAAACCCAGAAATGGTTCATATTTTTTTCTTTCAAACATATACAGTCATAATATCAAGATTTATGATTCTGAAAAGGGGAACTATGCATGAAAAATACAATAAATCTATTTCAGTGTCGGTATTTTCAGAAATCCTATAAAAGACTATGAAAAACAGGGGCAGCTGCACGGTCAATTAAAACAGTAATTACAATATAGAAACAAAAAGGAACAAATGCAGGGAATAAAAGTAGACACAGGCACACAACAAGAAAGACAAATCAAAGATACTGTAGAACAACAAAACACAAATGGAAAGTTTTAATTGGGTTTTAAAAGAAAGCAGGAGGAA